TTCCATTTTATACAGCACACCTGATTCTGTTTTAGTTGAGTCAAAGTTATACGGATCACTTGATTGTATAACTAATTGATTTGATAACAAATCATAATTTTCAAAAGCTGTTGTTCTAATATTACCTTCATGTATCAAAACAATATTATTGTCAACTTTTAAACACTCTTCATTACCATAAACCATTTGTTTTGTGATATTAAGATTATTCTTTTTTAATTTGCTTGGCACATCATCTATATAAACACATAAAACTACAGAAGTTAGTTACTTTATATAATCATTGAGGACCAATTATTATACCTTTTTTCTTGGCACTACGTAAACGAGATTTGATTGAGTCTTGCTGATCATTAATACTCGGTTTTTTACCAATATCAGCATTGTCAACATTAAAAACTGAAAGATTTACAAAAATATATTTGTTCTTATTAAGTATTAATGATATATTCTAAGTAGAAGTAGTTATATAAAAACATATTAATATTACAATAGTGTTATAAYTTGGTACAAAATTATATAACATAAATAATCTGGGTTAAATTAACTTAAACTTTTATTACTGTTCCATTATTTATTATTCATAACATCACCAAAAAGTTTTCTAACTTCACTCAAACTCCAACAAATATTTTGCAAACCTGAACCACATAATTAATACAATAGGTTTTTTTAAATAGCTCTTAGGTGCTTCTGTTAATTTTTAAAYATTGAATAGTAAGAAAAAAAAATATTCAATAAAATTATAATTTTCATATAATTTAAAGAATACATTAATCATTATTATTTACAAATTCAATTAGGAAAACTTACCTAAAAACTCATCTAGTATGTTTTTAATTTGTGGATCAGACTGAGTAGAGTCTAATGCTTTTTCAAGAGTAGGAGGATCTAAGACTTTACTCTCTAGAATATTGTCAGTTTCTTTTTGAGCTTCAAAAGATTTATTTATGGTATCAGCAATTTTTTCCAATAAACTTTGGTCATTCAAAAATGTATCAACTAATTCACCAGTATCAACAACAACCGAACCATCCTTTATCCTATCTTCTTTAGAAAACCCTGGCATAGAGTCGAGTGATGTTGCTTCTGGTATATGTTGGTAGTCAGCCTGATCACTATAAAAATATAGTTTAAGACGTTTATATTATGAATACAATAACTAGTTTATAAGTTAAAACTATTTAAATTTAGAAAAATTATGTTAGGATATGTTCAATTATTCTATATATCTTTAATTTTATTAATTTGTTAAACACAAGACTAATGTATCGCTGTAGCAAACTATTTGTTCGAAATTGATTGATATAAAATATAAAGCAAAAATTAATTAATACGATGAACTAGAATAAGTTATTTACAGGACCTGGATTTATATGCATTTGCATGTTTTTTCTAAATATGTAGTCTAGAAAATAGCTAGGTAGGCTATAGATCAATAGATCCAAAACACAAMATTTTATTTTTCATATTTTGCCATTTTGCTATTTTTTAACCTGTACTGCATGCTTCTGTATTTTACAATTTTTTATTGTATATATACGGTTTTTAAATGTATAATATGTAATATTTTGCTTTTATTAAATAAAATAACGTAATTATAGTTATATTTATAGTCCATGTAATCTGACATAGTCGTTTTCAAATATTATCTGAGACAGAGGTGTTCTCAGGATTTTTCAATGGAGGGGGATGAAAGAAATTGTTACATGATAAGCCGTA